GTGCATGTAACCTTAAATAGTATATTGTGCAAATTTAAATATCTCCAACGAAGCTTAACAGGGAAATTCACGAGGATAATATTATATTGTGCAACTAATGCGAGAAGTTGTCGATTGCCCACGACAGAGAAGTTGAGCGGACTAGCGAAGCGACTAATAAAAAAAAGAGTAATAAAAAAGCTTTGTCCGCGTGAATTTATGTGTGAAGCTCCAATGGAGATATTAACATTAGAACGATAAATATGGTAACAAATGAATAAGGTTGGTTGGGTGGTTAAATATTTAGCGACATATGTATGTAGACTTCATATGTTATAAAACTGTTCTACCTGTCCCTGCGGGGGAATTACATGGAATACTATAATAAGTATTATTTACATGTCTTAGTTACATTACTACAAAGATATATAAGAACTTGTTAAGTAGATTGTGTGTAACACAAAACTAATCATAAGTAAGTGTAAGGTTATTAATAACTAATCAGGAAAGTTCATCTGTATACATCTTGAATGTGAAGTAATAATTATCTTAATATAACAAACATTTTCATCTCATCATTCCTCACTACTGACTGTTAGTTAATCATATACAGAACTCATACACGTATTTATAACAATGTATACATTTTGATAAAAGTGTTTGTTGTTTAGAAGGACTGTTTATTTTCTTAGACAGCAAGCTTCTCCAGTAGAAGCACCAAATTTACTCAAGTTCCAAATCTTTAGCCTCTTAACTTAAGGATAATTTTTGATTCCATATTTGAGACTTAACAAAATCACTCAATAAATATAATAACTAAATAAATCAAACCACATTTCACTACACATATAACTGATATTCCATCAACGCGGTCCCCGGTTCGTTCCCGTGCACGCTACACTCTCTGTATCCACAGTCACACTTCAAGTCCTAACTTGTTCCGTGTGTGTTCAGAGCCTGTCTGTTCATGTCTCTTCTCTCCACCGTCTGTATGTTAACTGCGCGTCCCTCGTGGCTCCTCTCACTGCTCCTCGCTGCGCACTCACGGACACAGACGGCGCAGATAACTTTACATTCTGTTAACAAACTGACTGAACTTTCAGACTATTTTATTATTATTTTCATGATGGGAATGATTAGAGCGTGCTTTTCTTGTTGCTTCTAATGATAAAGTTTATATGACGAAATAACAATTATAGATTATTGTACCAAGAGTTTAATCATGTGAGTTACGATTAATTACTTTTAGTTACTATAAAGCGATTAAGAAAGAAAGCGAAAAAATTATTTTACTTTCCGATCGACCTGATCAGTATTTAAATTGTTATTTTTTTAAATGTGATTTTAGAATTTATATTAAAGTTAATAATTAGATAAAAATGTCATACACATTTCATTTAGGATAAATCACGATATTTAGCGGATTGGCGAGAAGACTGAGTTCTGCGGCATTCGCGGTCAAAAAAATTAGATCATGTACCGATGTTGGTACGGCTCGCTTAGTATATTTCAGTTGCTTTCACAGTATAATGTCATACGGTATTATGCTGTGGGGCAACGCAGCCGCTCTCCATACTATATTTGTGCTACAGAAGAGGGCTATTCGCGCAATCTATAACCTAGGAGCTAAAGAATCGTTAAGGAATAAATTTAAAGAAATCAAGATATTGACTGTTGCTTCTCAATATGTATTCTGCAATGTTATGTATGTACGAAAAAATATTAATGATTTCATGAGAAAATGTGATACTCATAGCATTGGTACAAGGAACAAACATAAACTTGTTACTCCTGTTACTCGACTACATAGAGTCAGTAACTCCTTTGTGGGGCAATGTATACGGTTTTACAACAGGATCCCAGAAAGCGCTCAAAATGCCTCTGTTGCTAAATTTAAAAAAAATATTAAGGAACGCTTGTGTGCAAAAGGTTACTATACAATTAATGAGTTTATGATCGATAGCACACCTTGGGAATGAAAGGAATGAAACGATCGCCTCCTGGCTATTTCATCTCATATTAAATTGTGTATATAATATATGAGATAAATTTATATATATATATATATATTAAAAAAAAAATAAACCCGCTGAGTTTCTTTCGCCGGTTCTTCTCAGGTCAGGGTATTTTCTTTTCCGAACCGGTGGTAGTGTCTCAAGTGACCATCAATGAGAAAGTGTAATGCTTCTATATTGAATAAAGTTGTTTGAGTTTGAGTTTATTAGGTATTTTTCTTTTCCCTGAATGGGTATTGATAGCGCATTTTTTGCAACAAGTGGCTGTTAAATAAATTATCGAATACTGTCTCCAATCACATTTCTTACTATTTAAAAGTGTGACGAAATATTTCTGACTTAAATAATGATTTCATTTCTTATAGTTTAGTTAAAATAATATCCCTCAAATATTTATAATAACACAGTTATAGGAATAGTTGGCCAGTGGTGGCCCAGTGGTTTAAGGGCCCGCCTCTCGTTGCCGAGGACGCGGGTTCGTTCCTGCCCCGGGCAAGTACCAATGTGATTTTTCCGAATCATATATACTTTCTAAGACTATTTAGACATCACTGATTAATATTGATTCCCAAAAGAGGGTTGATGTCAGGCAGGCGGTCGGTCGTAAAAACAAATAGCCAAAACAATTCACAACATGTAAGGCAGACCCTGGCTATAGCTGGGAAAATTGCCAGGTAGAAGAAGATAGTTACAGGAATAGTTGAAAAGATAATTTTACACGAAATTAACTATTGTAATGTTGTTATTTGCAGGGCAAATATTTTACCATATGTTGATGTGATAATGTCAGAATAACGAAGTTAAGAATTTAAGACAATGAAGACTAAATTTATACTCTTTGCTTTACGGGTGCATCAGAAACAAGTTAAAAATCCAGCACAAAATTTATTTAAAGTCTGCCAGAATTTATGTAGCACTTTGTCCTTCGCTGCTCTGTAAAACGCCTTATTCATCAACCGTCTGCATCGATAAAAAAGTTAAAGTAGAAATAATGAAAGTTTGTAATAAAATAATACATATATTTAATTTAAAAGCTGATGCAGAATTTAGGTATATTGGTTTAATAACAATTATGTTGCTTAATGACATGTAAGTCTTTCGCGAGTATTCATTTAAATGAAATTAATATTATTCGGATTACTTCTCGTTTTTTATTATTTTATATCTACATACTCCCGACGTTCCGGTTACTTTGCAGCAACCGGGATCAAGTGCAGATGAGATGTCAATGTGAATTATATTTAATCAACATAATTTTTAACTTAATAGCTTGGTGAATTCAAAAAGGTTTGTTATTTCCATATTAATTGATAATCTACTGTGCCCTTTATAGACAACTGATCAAGTGTTTATTTATTATAAAGTAGCAGGTTTATCATGTCCATGGATATTCTACTATTATTAATAAATGTGAACAATGAAATTTTTGTCCATTTGAGGATTACTTTATGTAAAACGTTAAAGTAACTTGTTCGTTTAAGCAATAAGATACCAAGTATGGTTGAAATGGAAAAGGTAAAGTTAAAAATAATCCAAAAAAATGTACTTACATATTTAATAAATACATGACTTGAAATTACTAAAAGCAAAAAAAATCTCTATGATGATAAGAATGAAAAAGAAGTTGATTAGATATACAAGTTGAATAATGTTATATGTATATCGGATTTATTACAAATTCGTTGTTTTTAAAGAGAGCCTCGCTTACGTTACAAATGTTACTTCTTCTAGTACGTTCCATGATATTTTAAAATGAAACTTCAATTGTTCTTAATGCTCCTGTATTTCTCGAAGGTTCTTCATAATTACATACTTCAATGATACACACTCACTGAACTCTGAATTCAGCCGTCGTGCGTCCAGATGTCGTATTTATACCAAGATTTAAACATATGTAGTTCTATTCTCCTTTTAAACAATCTTTGATTTCGTTTTAATTTTAACAATAATCATAAATACTAATGTGTTTTAATAAGAATAGATGACAGCCTCAATTTTTTTTCATTTCACATCCGTTATTAAAGCTGATAGCGCCGATATATATGTATAATGGTAGATTAATAGACTTGCACTGTACGCATAGACTGTAGGACATTCTTATAGCAATTGTGTACAGCATTAAAAATTTTATGCTTCGTATGATATATTTATAATACTTTGGTCAGTTGAACCTGCAATAAGTAATTAGGTACGCATTCCAAATACCGGAATATGTCGGGTGTGGGCTCATTTTACCTGGTGTTAATTTTCGAAATGACGCTCAAAAGGTCTCGGGATGATTTGATTGTACGTAATCCCAAAACAGTAAGAAGTTGTCAGAGATCATACAAAGCATATAGGAGAACCAAGCTAGGTGTTTCGGTTTACATTAATCAGTATTCAAACAGCCTTTGTCTACTAATTAATATCAATAATTTTTAAATAATCTCTTTCTCGACATTTTACTGTTACAAATAAAGCTTGTTCATTTGCTCATTATTGAGATAATCCGAAAGTATGAAACTCCCATATTTTTAAAAAAAACTTTATGTGTTTTGTTTGCAGTCATTTAGAACGTTTTGTTACGTTATGTTCATACCTATTAGATATTTTCAATACTATTTTATTGCAAATTTTAAAAAACTTAATTTTAAATATTTTGTTCAACCAAATAACAACTTAATTTCATTTTATAAATTATATACAGATCAAAGCAGACATACAAATTGGGAATTAACTTTTTAACTGGATCGTCAATTAACGGTATAAAATTATAAGAAACAAAGGTTTTTAAACAACTTTATCTTAAGATAGGCGCAATAGTTTTGTAATAACTTTTCGATAAATATTTTTGATTATTCTGATTATTTTTAGAAGAAAATTAACCTTTTCAAATATTAAAATAAAATTAAAAATATACAAATGTTAATTTCGATTAATTTTCTTTCATGTTTTAACCTTTTTATTTAATGTTTTAATTTTTACATTTCCTAGTGTATTTGGATATTTTTAATATTCTTTTCACTTTTATCGTCTCTCAGGAAGCAGCGCCAGTCGATCAGCTGCTCCAACGCCACCTGCCGCGCGGCAACGCTCCTCGATCTCCTGGAAATAATTAGTATTAAATAGTGAGATTAATGAACCAGAATTACCTGTGGTTATACATATCAGAACATATGTATTTATCTCATGAGATATACTTTCACGGGTCGTCATTGAAATGTTACTAATATTTTTTGTTTTTACTATAATCTACTCGTGATGCACGTGAAATATCGATAGTACGTTATAAAAAAATAACTATAAACACTTAGTAAAGTAAATACAAGAAATATTACTTTTCTTCCCAAAGAGTGTTGATGTCCGGTCATAAAAACAGTTAGCCAACACTATTCACATCATGGAAGGTAGAAGAAGGTACTATTGCTAACATGTCTTTCATATTATAATATTGTTCCAGTGTGTACTAACCGCTGAGCTGGGACGTTCCTCATCCAGTAACCTCTGCCCCCTGGCCAGTACGTCCTTGAACCAGTCGTCGCGCGCCTCTTTCTCCGCCCTCAGCTGCTGCTGAGCCTGCGGCAGCTGGGGATGACATCTCGCTGCGGAGGGATGACGACCACGAGATGACGTCACGGAGCTGGGGAACGATATTCATGATATATATATATATATATATATATATATATATATATATATTTTATATATAACATTCTCGTGTCACAATGTTCGTTTCCGTACTCCTCCGAAACGGCTTGACCGATTCTCATGAAATTTTGTAAGCATATTGAGTAGGTCTGAGGCTCTGAGAATCGGCCAATACCTATTTTTCATAACCTAAGTAATAGGGGCTGTTCACCCCTAAATTTTGTTTTGATTTGGACGAAAGGTTTTGTTTTTATTTTTTTATCAAGTGTCATAAGAAAATACATAAAATCCTAAATATTTTTTTTATCACCAACCCCTACTTTTGATATGACAAAACAACGTTTGCGGGGCAGATAGTATATGTTAAATAATAAATAATCAAAACTAAGACAACCATTAAATTAGTGCTTAATATAGAAAAATATCTCTAAATTAAACGTTACTTCATTTAATTTTTGTTACAAGTGCGATGTCGAACTGTATATTCATAAATGTTTTTGTTATAAGTGTAATTCTGATATAAGTGATAATAATGTCTTAATGGAAATAAAATATCATAAAGGATACATTACTTATAGGCGTAAAATCGTTAATAATTAATTAGTATATAAAGAAAAAATATATAAATTAGATAGATTAATCAAATGTAGCAATATATTAACACACTATCAGATCATAAAGGTTTTGTATAATAGTAAAATCCCACAGTAATACCTCGGATAGGAAGGTCTGTAATTCCAGGTGTTGGTGCAGCAGTTTCCTCCTAAGGTCTGCAGCACCTCGCAGTGACCGCCACGCCTCACTGAGCGCCTGCTGTCTCAGCGCTATCTGCTGGGAGTTACCGCCGGGGCATAACCGCTGGAGGCGAGATCCTTCCCCTGGAGCACCTGGAAATAGATTTAATATCACTACAACTATCTCTTCTACCTGGCAACTTCCCAGCTTTAGCCAGGGTTTACCTTACATGTTATGAATAGTTTTGGCTAATTGTTTTTACGACCGGCCGCCTGCCTGACATCAACCCTCATTGGGAATGCATTAATCAGTGATGTCTAAATATTCTTAGAAAGTACATATGACTCGGAAAAATCACATTGGTACTTGCCCGGGCCAGGATATATATTACTACAACTATAAAATACTGCAAAAATCAGTTAAAATCTTATTTAGGCAGAATTAGGCTACATTAAGTGAGGAGCTATGATATTATGAAATAGATTTTCACAAGTATTCATTTAAATGAAACTAATATTTATCATATCGTCTGCCCGTAAACAAAACGTCGGAAATATGTAGTTTTTTATCAAAACGTTCATCCAAAAAATATTAGTTTCATTTAAATGAATACTCGCGAAAATCTTAGATTTCATTATAAGTCAATCTTAATAGTTACTCTGTGTCTATGAGTTTGCATTTCTTATCACTGTTTTGTACACAATTGTTGTTGCTTTGAGGGTGTATATTTTAAATTTCATGTTTAAAGCAAACTTTATTGTAAGAATATGCTACCTAGTGATACATTTATTATGATTGTCGAAGTTTTAATTTAAAATACATAATATGTTTATCGTCATAATTTTCTCAAGTAAGTGAAATGTAATTTCTTTTTTAAGAAAAATAAAGTATCTTTAACCATAATAATTGTTTTGTAGTACCTGCATCTGCGCGTCTATAGCGACCATATCGTTCTCGCCTAGGTCGTGGTCCCGCAAGAAGGCGTGCCCGGCGCTCCCCGGCCCGCGCCAGCAGGTCCCCGGCGTCGCGGTGGAAGCGGTGGATCTCGCCAGCAGCAACCAGGCGCTGGCTGCAGGACTGGATCTGTTCTACGCTGACCAGACGCTGCCAGGACGCTGGAATGTATGAATTGTATTTGAATTGTGGATTATGTAAATTAGATCTTATAAATATATTATTAAAATTCATTTTGCCTTGTTTTAAACGACATGTGGAATTTTTTAATTAGATTCTATGTGTATGTAATTAAGTCTCATTTTTCTTTGTCTAAATTAAATTCTATATCTAGTCATTAAGTCTCATTTTAACTTGTACAAATTAATTTGCATTTGTGGAATGTCTTATTTAGATTCTATATCTGTATGTATGGTTAAAGCTAATTTTGTTTGGTATAAGTTTATGTGGACATATTGGATATCTGAATTAGATCCTATATGTTATGTAATTAAGGGTCATTTCCCAAGTTCTCCTCACCCGAGCACTTCCTGTCTCTTTTCAATGTCAGCGATGTATGGGCTGTCTGAGGCGACCAGCTTCTTGGCCAGCTCCTCACACTAGTTGAACCTCTCCGCCCCACTCTCTACACGGTGACGGTGCTCTTCGAACTTGGACCTAAGAATCTGTGGTTGGGGAAATATGATGTCTTAGATTATAGAAATAATTAAATGATTTTGGAGGATATTTTAATTAAGCTGTAAACATTTAGGTATATTTAATATTATGACATGCTAATCTTTGCACATCCTTCTGAGATACAAAAAATTAAAAAAAAACACTAAATTACGTACTAAATGCTCAAATTGACTTAAATTTCAACGAAATTTAGCATTCATTCGTTAGTTTCTAAAAATAGGATTGTTGAACGGATATCCGTGAAGTTTCAAGCTTAGTATTTGAAGATATAACTGAATAATGACTCCATCACCAAGTGTGATGGCTGGAGCACCCTCTCATCATCATCATCATCATCATCTACATATCGTTACTCACCAGTAAGTGTTCATAGTCCTGTCCGTAGTCTTCACTGGAGGCGGCTGCTTGCTGCTCCGCAACCCATTCCTCCAACTCAGCGCTCTCAGCCAGATATTCATGTCTAAGGATGGACACACATATTTTTAGAGGATATCCTATTTATATATTCCTATAACACACATATACTAGTCTTTGTCAGCAACTTCTTCATAATCAACTTCAGGAATAGAAAGGCGTTACTGTGTAACGCTTAAGAAGCAGTAAATAACAAGTCTTTGTTAAGTAGTTATTTATTTAAATTTCGACCTCGCTTAATGAAAAGTATGATACGTCAGTCTCCTGTTTCTAAACTACCTCGAAACAAATTTACAAATTCTTATAGCCCTTCTTGATTATAACTAGTGCGACGAATATGATATGTATACAGGGTGACTGGTGAATTACTATCAATATTTAAGGAGAATACTCGGTACATGATTCTCATTCGAATTATGTAAAAAAAATAGGCACTTAATTTTGGACAAAATTTCCGTATAAATAAATAAAGTGTTGACACGTTCCAAATGTTCAAGTGTGGACGCGTGCGGCGACGTGCTGATACAACACTACGTCACGACACGCGTATGTGTGAGTGTCAGTGTATACCTAATCTGTAGGGTGTTCATACGATGCGTAATTAATTACATAAGTTTTGGTTAACTTTACTTAGAAGTTTATTAATATTTATGTTAAATTAATTTTTATTTTGTCATATATGATCGTCAAATATCACGTCCTCAAATATCGATAGTAATTCACCAGTCACCCTGTATATATAGTATCTCTCACCTGCACACACTCTCCACGAGCGCGACCTGCCGGCTGCCTGCTCGCTGCCAGTCTCTGCAGCCTAGCCAGACTGCCAGCCAGCTGGTCATGTCTGGTGACCAGCGCGGCGCCCTCAGGATGACCACCGGAAGCCATGGATTGCGCCACGTGACCCATTTCCGCTATGATCGCCGCGTATGTGTCCAACTCGAGTTCTACGGCCTGTTGGTAGGTTAAAGAGGAATTGTAAGATAATGCTGAATATACTCTGTATTATTATATTTCTGTTAATTGAAAGTGTTAGAAATTTAAATAATGACAACTTCTTCTCATTTAAGTCCATATATATATGTTAGATGTCATACTCCTGCCAAACGGCTTAACCGATTTTTATGAAACTTTATATGCATATTCAATCATTTTAACAATTGGCTACTATCTATATTTCATACCCCTAAGTATAAGGGCGGCCCACTTTTAACACCTTATTTAATTTTTTTTGGACAACCTTTCATAATGTGGCATTATAAAATACATACAACCCTTAATTATCACTCTTCTATCACCAACCCCTATTTTTAATACATGTTTTATAAATATTTGATCCTACTCAATGACTGATAAATTTTCACTTCATTAGTCACTTGATGACTTACATATATATAGTGATTTATCATTTCTTGTAGCTCAAAAATTGTGTGATATGACGAAAATCTAATTCTTAGCGATGTATATATATATATATTATTATTTATTATATATATATATATATATATATATATACAGGGTGACTGGTGAATTACTATCAATATTTAAGGAGCATACTCGGTACATGATTCTCATTCGAATTATGTAAAAAAAATAGGTACTTAATTTTTGACCAAATTTCCGTATAAATAAATAAAGTGTTGACACGTTTAAAGTGTTCCAAGTGTGGAAGCGTGCGGCGGCATGCTGATACAAAACCACGCCCCCGCCGCGTGTGTGTGAGTGTATGTGTATACCTAATCTGTAGGGTGTTCATACGATGCGTAATTAATTACACAACTTTTGGTTAACTTTACTTAGAAGTTTATTAATATTTATGTTATATTAATTTTTATTTTGTCATATATGATCGTCAAATATCACGTCCTCAAATATCGATAGTAATTCACCAGTCACCCTGTATATATATATATTACCTTATGCCGTGTGAGTAGTTGCGTCGCTCTATGCCTATCATTGCCGACGTCACCGGAAGCCAGTGCGGCGGCCTTGTCTACTTCCGCTGCATCATACAGGAACTACTGGGCCTTGACCGCCGCCTCCTGCCGGGCCGCGCGCTCCTCCGCCGATGTTGATACAGAGGAGTATGCCTCTTCAAGCTCCTGGCACAGCTGCTTGATCTGGAATGTGATCGTTATAGTTTAGTGAGTGGAGTAGGGAAATAAATTATATGTATATGCATAAATTTTTCTTCTCCTTCCTGGCAATTTTCCAGTTTTAGCCAGGGTCTGCCTAAGATGTGTGAATAGATTTGCCTAATTGTTTTTACGACCGGACGCCTGCCTGACATCAAACCTCTTTTGGAATGCATTAATCAGTGATGTCTAAATACTCTTATAAAGTACATATGACTCGGAAAAATCACATTGGTACTTGCCAGGACCGAACCCGCGCCCTCTTGCATGAGAGGCGGGACTTTTAACCACTAGGCCACAACTGACTGAGGAAATGAATTATATGTATATACATAAATTAATATAATACAAATTGGTGTTTCAGTTAATGTCGCGTTCACACTGTTTACTTCGCTGTAAGCAACAGTACTATGCACATGTGCTTGGAATCTACTCTCAATGTCTCTCCTACTTTCTACATTTGTGTATCTTTCTTTCCCTTCGTTGAACGTTTAACGCAACCTTGTTGGTAGTCGCATAAGAAGTTTTACTTCAAGAATTCACTCAAAAAATATTTAAAAAAATCAATTATCAGCCGAACTTTGTCCAAGAATAATTTAATTGTGCATGCTGTATATAATATTTCAGATGAACCAAGGTATGGTGTGGAGATCCAGAATGAATTTAACTATGATACTATGACGTTGGTAAGATGGACATTTTTTACTATGCGTCAGTTCTGCACTATCGAACGGACGCGTGTTTATCTCTTAGAAATAAATACCTACATATAATCACTACAAATACAATGGGACATATATAACTATATAACATTACTATGTAATACATGAGAATGTGAGTTATATATATATAGTCCACCTTCCCAGCCTGTGGATGCGTGTCCAGCTCCTTGCCCCGCTGGAGCACCCTCTCCACGACAGGCCTCCGCCCCTCGAGCTCCGCCCTCAGCTTGGCGTGTTTCTTCTGCGCGTGGCAGATGAAGCAGCGGCCTGGCGCTCCGACACCCAAGCTAGCTCTCCTGAAACCTCGGCAGCGAACTTGTGTGGTCTGTGGAGGATTTGGATAAATAAAATTAGTCCTCAAATTGATTATGTACTATTACTATCCTACTAATATTATAATTGCGAAAGTTTGTGAGTGTGTATGTATTTATTTATTTATTTAGGCACACAACAGAATATAAGCCGGATTACATATGAGTTACAGTCTAAAATTATTTTTAGTTTGATTATATTCTTAAGTATGTGTCACGGCATAATCATTACAAAAACAATATTTTTGTCAGGTGCTACATTATTTAGGTACAATTTAAGACTAACGAATAAACAGGAAAATGTACGTTTGTTACTTCTTTACGCTCAAACGGCTGAACCGATTTTGATAAAATTTTGTGTACAGGAAGCTGACGTCCAGGAATAACACATAGGCTACTTTACATCCCGGAAATCTCGGAAATCCGCGGGTAATATCTCGGGGCGCAGCTAATATGGTATAAATTATAAAATAGTTGCTTTTCTTATCCCTATATCCGTATGCATTCTTAATAACTTAAAACTACGCAGTGGATTTTGGTGCAGTTTTTTTTTTTGAAAGATAGATTGTTTGAAGATGAAGGTTTGTATGTATAATGATATCCATAAATAAGTGGAGAACCCTTATCCAGTTAAATAACTTTAATACATTTTTGATTTAAAATAGATCTACGTCCCGGCTCAATTGTATATATGTATTGCATACATATATATTGTTCCGTCAACCGTTAATCATTTCTTATATAATATTGTATTGAATCATATTTTAGTTATATCGTATACTGACTGTGGACTAGTTTCCAGCGCCTGTCTCCTCTCGGCTGCTCGAGGGCGGAGCGCCCGGGCGGTCTGCAGCAGCGCAGCGGAGTCTCTCTCGATGGCCGCGCCGTCGAAGAGACCACTGGAGACCAGGTCGGAGCCCTGGGCTGCAAGGGACTCCGCTCGTTGTTCGCATTGACTCAACTCTTGTTCCAGAGCCTGTAGACATTTATGTTACTATTGAATATTATATAAATATACATATATTACATAGGTGTACAACTTTGCTTCCGCCGTTTTGCAATAGATGGTTGTAGCGGTAAGTGGTAGTCGAAATAAATAGATCGTAGATATCATACAATAAGCTTAGGCATTTGTAAACATAACGCTATCGAAATATTATTCGATTTGTGTCTGCATCATAAAGTTATTCTCGATTAAACATGTCAGCTTACGAGCCAAATTCTCGTCATTTGCGGGAGGTTTTAATTTTCTGCTTTAATATGAAGAAATCTGCGGCTGAGGCTCATTGAATGCTCTCAAATACCTATGGTGAGGCTGCTATTAGTAAAAGAATGTGCCGAGAGTGGTTTCAACGCTTCAAGAACGGTGATTTTGACGTCGAAGACCGGCATGGCGGTGGAAGAGAGAAGGTTTTCGAAGATGCAGAATTGGAGGCATTACTTGATCAAGACTCGTGTCAAACGCAACAAGAATTGGCAGGATCATTGGGAGTGACGCAACAAGCCATTTCAAAACGCCTGAAAGTCATGGGCATGATTCAGAAACAAGGAAATTGGGTGCCGTACGAGTTGAAGCCGAGAGATGTTTAACGGCGTTTGTTTGCTTGTGAATAGCTGCTTGCAAGGCAAAGACGGAAAGGATTTCTGCATCGCATTGTGACTGGGGACGAAAAATGGGTTCATTACGATAATCCCAAGCGCAGAAAATTATGGGGATATCCCGGCCATGCTTCCATGTCGACGGTCAAACCGAATATTCACGGTTCCAAGGTATGCTCTGTATTTGGTGGGACCAGCTCGACGTAGTGCATTATGAGTTGTTAAAACCGACTGAAACAATCACAGGCGATAGTTATCGAACGCAATTAATGCGTTTGAGCTGAGCATTGAAAGACAAACGGCCGCAATACAACGAGATACATGATAAAGTGATTTTACAGCACGACAATGCTCGACCCCATGTTGCGAAAGTGGTCAAGACATACTTGGAAACGTTGGAATGGGAAGTCCTACCCCACCCGCCGTATTCTCCAGACGTTGCTCCCTCGGACTATCACTTGTTTCGATCAATGGCACACGGCCTGGCTGACCAGCACTTCCGGTCTTATGAAGAAGTTAAAAATTGGATCTATTTGTGGATCGCTTCAAAAGATGACCAGTTTTTTCAACGTGGGATTCGTATGCTGCCCGAAAGATGGGAGAAAGTAGTGGCCAGCAATGGACAATACTTTGAATCATAAATGTATAACCAGTTTTTTACAATAAAGCCTCGAATTTCGGAAAAAAACGGCGGAAGCAAAGTTGTACACCTAATATGTTCTAGTAAATACAACAAGGACGAAATCGCATTTTTCTGTAAACAATAATTGTTTTTATCAATACACATTTCTAAACAATATAATTCTACTTGTTTTACTTTAAAACAAATTGTTTTCTCATCTGAGGAGCCCTTAGTTTAAATCTAGTTATTAAAGCACAAGCAATGAGCTCTTTACACTTTGATTTTATAAAAATAATCTCAGCAAAAAAAGAAATCTTTAAAACCACATCATCACTCTCACACTGACAGTTACCACAAATTATATCAGTTAGCTGGCATAACTACGACAGATAATAATTTGAAAAGCAATCTATACTAATATTATAAAGCTGAAGAGTTCGTTTGTTTGTTTGTTTGAAAGCGCTAATCTCCAAAACTACTGGTTCGAATTGAATAATTCTTTTTGTGTTGGATAGTCCAGTTATCGAGGAAGGCTGTAAGCTATATAACATCACGCTACGACCAATAGGAGCAAAGATATAGTGGTAAATGTGTAAAAAACGGGAGAAATTATTTAATCTTTGAAGCCTTCCGTTTGTGCGCCGTGAAAACGGTTCAAGATACACAAAAAATATGTATTAAAGAATAATAGCTCTTTTAACGATCTAAAAATCAGTCCGCGACAATATATGTCTATCTTTTAAGATTAACTCACAAAAACCGTTTTTATGGTACCTAATTTGGTCGAAATAATTTGTTTAAGTTGTATCAACATAATAATATTAATCTTTATTCAAATAAACAAATAAATATGTTGTTGGTTAAGAGTACTTCATTATTAATAAAAAAAACATAGGTTTCATCCTGAAAATTCTACGGGAACTCGACCATTCCGAAAACCCCGCAAGAACGGGAACTATGTGGGAAAAACCAAAAATCTGTCGGAAGTAACTATTCCACGCGGACGAAGCCGCGGTAAAAGCTAGTACTATATATATGTATTTATATAGTATATCTAGTAGGTATGTTATATGTTGGTATATGTTGGTATGATATATGTTGGTCTTACAAGTAAATTATCCTAACTGATTTTGATAAAACTCTTCTATAAAGCAATTTAGACCACATTAATCACCATCTGAGTAATACCTAATACACGCATGAAGTCGCAGTAAACAGCTAGTATGTGATGTACCCACCTGGTGTAGTAGCAGCAGTCTCTTGCAGGATCTCAAGTCTGAACCCAGCTCGGTGCTGTTCAGAGCTCGCTCCATCTCCGACAACCTCGCTTTAGTGTCTTCCACCGACCTGGGAAATCATAATTATATGAATATATTGAATGCATATTCATAATATAGGTGATTACATGAGATGTTTCCATCATCATCAGCCTATCAGAGCCCACTGCTGAGCCTCTTCTCACATGGAGAAGGTTAGAACATTAATCACCACGCTCGCTCAAGACGGGTTGGTGATGTCAAACTTATTATATGACTAGTTTTTGCCCGCGACTTCGTCCGCGTTAATTTCATCATTTTCTATGTATCTTCTTCTTCTATATATATAAAAATGGATTGCTGTTCCTTAGTCTCGCTAAAACTCGAGAACAGCTGAACGGATTTATCTTATCTTAGTCTTTAAATGTTCGTGGAGGTTCAGGGAAGGTATAAAAGGTGAGAAAAATTGATTCATTTTCGGGAAAACCCTAAAAACAGCACTTTTCTATTTCCCATACAAATGTTTTCTTTGACATTAGATTTGACAACTAACTAATATGTCAATCATTTTGTTCGATTGAAACAGGAAAAACAGGATTATTTATGGCCTCTAGGACGGAATAGAGTTCGCCCGGTCAGATATACACATATTACCAACTAGAAGACCTGACGAACTTCGTATCGCCCTATAATCAAGAAATGTCTATTACGTTTTTTTATTTAGTTACCTGTTTTTACCTGAGTTTACCTGTAAGCCATAAATCTCCGTGTTTTGAAGTGCGACAGAATGATTGAATCACTCAATAGACATTTCTTGATTATAGGGCGATACGAAGTTCGTCAGGTCTTCTAGTTGGTAATATGTGTATATCTGACCGGGCGAACTCTATTCCGTCCTAGAGGCCATAAATAATCCTGTTTTTCCTGTTACAATCGAACAAAATGATTGACATATTAGTTAGTTGTCAAATCTAATGTCAAAGAAAACATTTGTATGGGAAATAGAAAAGTGCTGTTTTTAGGGTTTTCCCGAAAATGAATCAATTTTTCTCACCTTTTATACCTTCCCTGAACCTCCACGAACATTTCAAGACTAAGATAAGATAAATCCGTTCAGCTGTTCTCGAGTTTTAGCGAGACTAAGGAACAGCAATCCATTTTTATATACAGGGTGACTGGTGAGTTACTATCAATATTTAAGGACGTGGTAGTTGACGATCATATATGACAAAATAAAAATTTATATAACATAAATATTAATAAACTTCTAAGTAAAGTTAACCAAAAGTTATGTAATTAATTACGGATCGCGTGGATACCCTAGCTGCGTTATCGACACAAAACAGTTATGTACGTAGGTATATGTAGTTATCGCGCGGTAGTTTACCTACATCCAAACGCCGCGCGCCGCCGCGTGTTAGACCTTAGATAAACAAAAATGATCCATTTTCCTTCATACTTTAATCCTGGCTTAGGACAGGCAAAAATACCAAGATATTTCTTTCGTTTAAGCAACCAATTTATTGACTAGGTAAATGGTGTGACCTTGACACAAAAAAAATATGAACTGTTTACCTATCTTGGTATTTCCGGCGTGTTTAAAAATGGAATCATACTTATTTACAACAATTGTCAATCATTAAACTACCTATTTACCTACATAACTACACTAACCTTAACAAATGTTCAAAGTGAGCTCCTTCTCGTGTGATACACAGTTCGGCACGTTTACACATATTGTCTTTCACACGATTTAATACGAATGGGTCACTTTTAATAGTTTTGAAATCACTATTGATTTTTAATTTCAACTCCTCTCTGTTTACATACTCTGTAGCATACACAAGACGTTTCCTTGGGCATGTGTTGGAACACGGAACTGTCCGAAGTCTCGTAATCTTTGATTAGCGTTTAAGATGACGCTGGCCGTAGGTACTCGACGATTGGGGAACATCTCCCGGTACAAATTGATTGCGCCCCGCAAGCTTTCATTTGCACGCGCATACGCATGAACCATGTCCAAGTATTCTGCATTTGTGTATTGAAAAGCCATATTTAATTACTAATAAGTAATAACGGGTCACACGCACACACGACAGATTATTATTAGGTATACGCGTAAGATCGATCGCTAGGCGCGCGCGCGGGAAGACGAACGTACGGACCTTGCGGCGGCGCTCGCGCGACTAATAGCCGACTAATGGCCCGCTAGCCACGGGGCGGGGGTTGGGGAGTAGCGACACACTGGCGCCGGCAAGGCACGTGTCCAAACTTTATTTATTTATACGGAAATTTGGTAAAAAATTAAGTACCTATTTTTTTTACATAATTCGAATGAGAATCATGTACCGAGTATGCTCCTTAAATATTGATAGTAACTCACCAGTCACCCTGTATATAGAAGAAGATAGAAGATATTATTGAATGGTGTAACCATGCTAAGGGTGATAGATGTATCACATACATTTAATAGGATTAGAACTTACAATCTGTACATAACGCGGTACAGATTTTATGTTTTACTGAGAGATCATAAAGTATTTAGTGCAAGTTCGCGCTTGGGTTGCTACGAAATTAAATTCAGAAATTTATTATCAATATGTGCCTAAATATATTTTATATCATACACTTCTCGTCTGCCCGTCATGACTGTTTCTTGTATATACAATGAATGCAAAAACTTTTACAAGTTATTATTTCACTTGCAATGTATGTACAGTCAAAACCGTTTATAACGACATCGTTTACAACGGCCTATCGGTTATTACAGCCAGATTGTATGGTCCCGTCCGAATTGCTAGTAAACTATTCAGTATACAAACCGCTTATAACAACATCGGATACAGCGACATATCGCTTACAACGACGAAAATTTATCGATATTAATCGACTTTAACGACCAACCGCTCCTTGTCCTTACCCATTTGCAAAGATCTACTGCTTTAGAACAAAAAATTGAGACAGAGGAATTTATTGGAATAGATAACAGTGTCGCGTTAGCGCCTTAGCTACTGAGGAAGAGATTCTTGCAGAAGCTAAAAGTAACAACCCTAACACTAACGAACAACACGAAGACCAACAAGACCTTGAAGAATAGTTTCAGCCAACAATAATGTCCGACGCTCTTAATGATGTAACAGTTTTGCAAAAAAAAATTGCCTTTAACGAACACTTTGATATTGATGATACTCATACCTTGAGTATGAAACGTAAAATGCTAAAAATATTTGAGACTGTGCTAAAAAAAATAATTCTAAAATGACTGATTACTTTAAAAACTAGTGTAGTTTTTTATAACCCGTAACTGTAAGCAGCCAAGTACATACATTTTGTATTCTAATTATTTTGTAATAAATATTTTTATTTCTTTTCTCAATCGTTTACATAACCTATATATATACTAGATAGATATGTGACTACATATGACAATATGTATAACTACTGTAGTTGTGTATATGACTATTGCTTATAACGACTATCGGATATAACGTCGGATATATACGGTCCCTTCAATGTCGTTATAAACGGTTTTGACTGTATGTTATTTTAGGGAAACAAACAATAAGATAAACTTATGGGATATAATTATAGAAAATTACATATATCAGCTAAGTTTCCACTGGTAATTAGACACATATTATTAAAATTTAAAAAAGACCAATAAACATTAAAAACGTATACTGACGAATTTCTTCGGCAGTTATGAATAAAATCTAACATAAATATAATTAAACCAAAAAAATAAAAAAGAAGTAACAAAACACATAAAATTTAATGGCTACATCGGTTAGTTAAATTACAGACAAAACATTTATATAAACTATGAATTTATACATAAATTAATCTCATTAACTTTATTTTTAAAAGAATACATTTTTCAAATAATATATCGCTATCTAAATAAACTTTATTATAATTTTGGCAGCTACGATATAAGAACTTAAGAAGATATTATTATTAGTACTTTTCGTTTTACAAATCGGCACATTAAATAATGGTTTATATCTAGAATTTATTCGTGAACAATTAAATTCAATATTAGACGATAGGAAAGGTGAATCTACGAAACTGTTAATTATTTTATTTAATGAAAGATACAATTTGTTTAAAGTTTGTAATTTCGTCCTTTAATGGTTTGAGTTGCGCAGAAATTATATCGGTTATAGTATTTTCCAAATAAAGACACAATTTGTCGAACTCTTTGGATACAATATTTTGAACTTCCACACCAGAGACTGGTATTACATTTGAATCAACTTTGGATGAAGCAATGTGGGCTCGTACACCTCTACGATTTTTAATATTATCATCCATGGTCTTTTTACAAATTAACTATGTGTAATCTCAAAACGAGGAAAAAAAATAAAATAAAATCAATCTTTCTCACATGCGATGCCCGGGATCGAACTCTCGCTTCACGCGTACTATGCTTAGTAAACACCTTGCGGCCAGTTTGTTTCTGATGTTAATTGTGAAAAAGATGATTTAGTTAAGACAGCTGGGTTTTATCATTTGATTTTTGACCAATCAGGAGTAAGGACGCAATGCTCTTGAGCGTTTGAATAAAAATACTGGTTTTTACCTTACAAATTTTAAAAAACACTTAATCACCTTCTCAAAATTAATGAACTGAATGTTTTAAGCACTATTGACAGCAATGAAACTAAAAAAACACTTATTATTCTAAAGTTTACACAAAAAATACTATTCCGATATACACTATTAGGTTAATATTATGAAGATAACAATTTGACGTCAAACACCCAAAATCACCAAGTTACAAACGGTACAAACAAACCGCCTACAAACGGTAATAGCGAATAATTGTACAATAATTTGACCGATAATCACTTGATAGTTTCAAGAAAACAAATATTTACAATTTTAGTGATTTTTATGTACGGAGCCAATGTTTACGCTAGCGATAGCGACACCTAATTGATATTCTAACCTAATTTATGTTCACTTAAAAATTATATATTATGTATGAAAATTTATATTTTCATTATATTGTTTTGAAATGCTAGTCACTACTGGGTCTGTATATGTAATGAACA